GCACAAGGAGAGAGAGCAGAGCTGTGGGAGGGGTCTAGCAGGCTCCACCCACTACAAAAAACTACAGGAGGGGGCGATGCAAGACCAGTCTCCCTGCACAAGGAGAGAGAGCAGCAGTGAGCGGTCTGCCTTCCTGTCCTGGGGTGACAACGCTCACTCAGTGTAGGGAATGAACATAGGACGATAGAAACCTCCTGTCTCATTGCCATAGTATAGAGGGAGGCAGGGGCGGACTGACAACTCATGGGGCCCCTGGGCAATAGGGGATCATGGGGCCCCTGTGTCCTTGCCCAAACTCAAAAAAGCCTATGAAAAAGGTACCAGGGGCATCTCATGGGGCCCCCTACTGACCCTGGGCCCTCGGGCAGTGCCCGAGTTTCCAAATGGTCAGTCCGGCCCTGGAGGGAGGTGTTCTGTAGTCCTCACTGGAAGCAATGTAAAAGAAAAGAGTGCCGCCCAGGCAGAGAGCACAGGAAGTTATGAGCACATTAAATTTCTGGCAGGATCAGCACGTCATATTATTCAACTGATATAAGACAATATTTTCAATGGGGCCAAAAAAGGGGCCAATCATAGAAGTCGATTGCAGGGACGTACGTTTCTTTGTACCAGATGTTTCCATAGCGATTTGTATTCTGGGAGAAGGAATCTGTTACAAAGTATCAATATTCACCAATAAAAGATGTTTTAAAAGAAAAACTAGCAAAATCAAGTGTTTGATTTCCATAAATACCCCCAAAAACCCGACACGAGGAATCCCGCCGCCCCTGAAGAAGTCTGACGTCTCTTTCTGTTCACAGGCAGGACGATCGCAAATCGAATAAATATTTGTCTTTTCTCCGCACACCAGCCAGGGAGATCAGAGCATATAAAGAGATGGACAGTCGGCAGACAGCGCCGCTGTCTAGGGTGCTGCATGGATGGCTCCGCGTCCTATTACCGAACGTTTATTTACAGACAGACGCCCGGAACGTTTATGAAGACGGATCGCAATGTAAGCCGACCATAATCAGCGCATCGCATCCTCTGCGCCGCCGCCGCTAATAAAAATGACAGAGATTTGCATATGACTTGACACGTTCATGAACACCGCTACATCAATGTCATCATTTACACCCGTCCGGGATCGGCGGCGCGGCCTTCCGAAGTATGACACGTCCCTCATCCATCTTCATCAGGGGGATCGATCAGGCGAAACAATCAGACGCCTGAGCCCAGGAGCTAGCGCTCTATTCGGCTGCCCCAGATAACTAGTGGCTTTTTCTGGGATTAGAAAGTTGTGACGATTTTTTTTTACATAATGATGAACAACTGATACCGTGAATGTGGAACATGGACCCCCGTCTGTGGAAAAGCCCGGAGTGCCCCCGGCTTCCTGATCAATAGGATTCTGATCAATAACATTGTCTGATATCAGATCAATAAAGAGACCCTGTCACCAACCTTATCAACTGCATCTTAATGCCTGGGCCAGTCTATTCCCTAGCACGGCCCATCCTTGCACGTCATAGCCCTCATCTCCTCCTCCGGAGTGTACAGTTATGGTCTGTGCTGGCCCAGCTCCTATGTCTCTCGACAATGATTGTATTTCAAGTTAGGAAAAACAAATGCTGATAAAAATACTTCCCCACCCAGGAAAAGTATAATAGTGAAAAGAAAAAAAATAAAGAAGCAATCAGAGTTGCCATTCATATGTGTTGGCTGGAGTCACTCCCCCCCCCCCCCCCCCTACCCAGCTTGATGGGTCTCATCACCAATCTTCCTGGACCTGATCCTGCTTTGGCGTTTGGATATTCCTGCCCACCATGGAGCCTCCTAATGCATCCTCTATATCAGGGGTCTCCAGTCATCCTAAAAAAAAGGGCCAGTTTGGTTTCCTTCAGACATTGGGGGGGGGGGGGGACTGTACCTAGTGGGAGTAAACAATGCCCAATCTTTGCTATTAGGGGCAGAAATAGTTGGTGTCAGTGGGAGAATGGTACCCTATTTTTTTTTGTCAGTGGGAGGAATAGTGCCCCATCATTGGTGTCAGTAGTAGGAAGAGTGCCCAATTATTGGTGTCAGTGGGAGGAATAGTGCCCATCATTGGTATCAGTGGGAGGAATAGTGCCCCATCATTGGTGTCAGTGGGAGGAATAGTGCCCCATCATTGGTGTCAGTGGGAGGAATAGTGCCCCATCATTGGTGTCAGTGGGAGGAATAGTGCCTTAAGGGCTGGATATAGGCAAGCAAAGGGCCGCAGTTTGTAGACCACTGCTCTATATTACAGAATGATCCCAACATTTCTACCCCATAGAAACCATAAAAAATATTATTCAGGTCTCAAGGAACACTTACAAAAAATGAATTCATTGGTGATCAGTGAGAAGAATGTCCCTTACATTGGGGGTCAGTGGGAAGAACGTCCCTTACATTGGGGATCAGTGGGACGAATGTCCCTTACATTGGTGATCACTGGGAAGAATGTCCCTTACATTGGGGGTCAGTGGGAAGAATGTCCCTTACATTGGTGATCAGTGGGAAGAATGTCCCTTACATTGGGGGTCAGTGGGAAGAATGTCCCTTACATTGGTGATCAGTGGGAAGAATGTCCCTTACATTGGTGATCAGTGGGAAGAATGTCCCTTACATTGGTGATCAGTGGGAAGAATGTCCCTTACATTGGTGATCAGTGGGAAGAATGTCCCTTACATTGGGGGTCAGTGGGAAGAATGTCCCTTACATTGGTGGTCAGTGGGAAGAATGTTCCTTACATTGGGGGTCAGTGGGAAGAATGTCCCTTACATTGGTGATCAGTGGGAAGAATGTCCCTTACATTAGTGATCACTGGGAAGAATGTCCCTTACATTGGGGGTCAGTGGGAAGAATGTCCCCTTACATTGGGGGTCAGTGGGAAGAATGTCCCTTACATTGGTGATCAGTGGGAAGAATGTCCCTTACATTGGGGGTCAGTGGGAAGAATGTCCCTTACATTGGTGATCAGTGGGAAGAATGTCCCTTACATTGGGGGTCAGTGGGAAGAATGTCCCTTACATTGGAGGTCAGTGGGAAGAATGTCCCTTACATTGGGGGTCAGTGGGAAGAATGTCCCTTACATTGGGGGTCAGTGGGAAGAATGTCCCTTACATTGGTGGTCAGTGGGAAGAATGTCCCTTACATTGGGGGTCAGTGGGAAGAATGTCCCTTACATTGGGGGTCAGTGGGAAGAATGTCCCTTACATTGGGGGTCAGTGGGAAGAATGTCCCTTACATTGGTGATCAGTGGGAAGAATGTCCCTTACATTGGGGGTCAGTGGGAAGAATGTCCCTTACATTGGGGGTCAGTGGGAAGAATGTCCCTTACATTGGGGGTCAGTGGGAAGAATGTCCCTTACATTGGGGGTCAGTGGGAAGAATGCTTCTTACATTGATGATGAGAATGCCACCTTTACAGAAAGCTAAAAAAAGACCAGTGGAAACAGAAACAACATCTCCTGCGCTCCAGCTCAGATAGGAGGGTCCAGTTTCAGTCCCATGGTACATATGGTAGAGGGCACTCATTGTATAGTTAGCTCTGAAGAAGAAGGGACCCCCTTCGAAATGCGTCAGCCTTACTTTGAGAGTCTACCCTCGTGATGTGACTCGCACCGCTTCTACACCCCTAAGTTCCGTTGAGGACCGTATACGCTTGTTATACTTCTTTTTTTCTGAGTATTACTCTCTATTTAATAAAATCACATTTTACTGAGGTAATGCGCAAGGTTGGTGCGCTTTCTTTGTGTTTCACTTTACAGTGGAGGTCGATCGGCTGCATATGTAACAGCCTCTGGCACTGAGCCCTGATAATGACCGTGGTGGGTGTGCAGGTTCGAGAAGTTCAGAGACCGCCATCCCTGCGAGAAGACATCATTAGGTGGGTTTGCTGTGATTGGTCGCTCTGAGTTGGGCCCTTTGCACACCATCAGCACCATGTGCTCGGCCTTATTAAATTACCTCGAATATCTTTTTTATTCAAAACACTAATAAATCTCTCAGCGGCCCTAAACGCTGCCAGGACGGAAAGCGAGTGCGTGCGCGGTCCCCCGTTAATCACTCACCCAGCCAGGGCACTGGATAATGACCCATCTCCATAGTAATTGCCCGTCCCGCTCTCTCTCGGCCTCCTCCTCCACACCCCAGTGATACATGCGTTTTAAATTACACCATGTACACAGGAAATGAGTTACCAACTATCACACGGGTGACACTTTTAATTAAGGTGATTTACACCGAATTATCCCTTGAAAATAAAAAACGCCGCCCTGCGTCCTTATAAAATATGTATTCGCGGCTTTTTTTTTTTTTTTCCATAACTTAGCGTTTGTTTTACTCTGTTGGGGGAATCGGAAAAGACTTTATTACAAAAGACAACTTCCCCTTCCTCTTCGCTAATCTCTCCTCCTCACCTGTAATTAACAGCTGCCCGCAGAATCACCCAGTGACACCGTGTAATAAAGGGGCCCGGCCAGATTAACCTGATAATTGGCATTAAAAAGATTCACCGCAGACAGGCGAGCCCCGGCGGACGCGGAAGAGTCGCCCGCATCCGACCGATACTTTACTGCACATAAGGCAGCCCATTCATTTCAATGGACCGGCCTACAGGCAACAAATGCAGCAATATAGCTCATGCAGCGTTTTGGAGGAGCCAGTACACCTGTGCAAGACTGAAGGGGAGGGGCCAGTACACCTGTGCAAGACTGAAGGGGAGGGGTCGGTACACCTGTGCAAGACTGGAGGGGAGGGGCCGGTACACATGTGCAAGACTGAAGGGGAGGAGCCGGTACACCTGTGCAAGACTGAAGGGGAGGAGATGGTACACCTGTGCAAGACTGAAGGGGAGGAGACGGTACACCTGTGCAAGACTGAAGGGGAGGAGCTGGTACACCTGTGCAAGACTGAAGGGGAGGAGCCTGTACACCTGTGCAAGACTGAAGGGGAGGAGTCGGTACACCTGTGCAAGACTGAAGGGGAGGAGCCGGTACACCTGTGCAAGACTGAAGGGGAGAAGCCGGTACACCTGTGCAAGACTGAAGGGGAGGAGCCGGTACACCTGTGCAAGACTGAAGGGGAGAAGCCGGTACACCTGTGCAAGACTGAAGGGGAGGAGCCGGTACACCTGTGCAAGACTGAAGGGGAGGAGCCGTACACCTGTGCAAGATTGAAGGGGAGGAGCCGATACACCTGTGCAAGACTGAAGGAGAGGAGCCGGTACAACTGTGCAAGACCCAAGGGGAGGAGCCGGTAACCTGTGCAAGATTGAAGGGGAGGAGCCACTACACCTGTACAAGACTAAAGGGGAGGAGCCGTTACAACTGTGCAAGACCGAAGGGGAGGAGCCGGTACACCTGTGCAAGACTGCAGGGGAGGAGCCGGTACACCTGTGCAAGACTGGCACAATGGTCACTGAGGTGGGAATGGTCAAAGATGTTTATCCGGCACAATAGTCACCAGTTTAGGGATGGTCGGAGATGTCTGTCTGGTACAATGGTCACCGGGGTGGGAATTGTTGTAGATGTTTGTCCAGCACAATGATCACCAGGGTAAGGATGGTCGGAGATATTTGTCAGGCACAGTGGTCACCGGGGTGGAGATGGTAGGAGATGTTTGTCTGACACAATGGTCACTGAGTTGGGGATGGCCAGAGATGTTTGTCTGGCACAATGGTCAGCGAGGTGGGAATGGTAGTAGATGTTTGTCCGGCAAAATGATCACCGTGGTGGGTGAGGATTGTCGGAGATGTTTCTCTGGCTCAATGGCCACCAGGGTGGGAATGGTTGTACATGTTTGTCCGGCACAATGGTCATCAGGGTAGGGATGGTCAAAGATGTTTGTTTGGCACAATGGTCACCGGAGTGGAGGTGGTAGGAGATGTTTGTCTGACACAATGGTCACTGGGGTGGGAATGGTTATAGATGTTTGCCCGGCACAATGATCACCAGGGTAGGGGTGGTTGGAGAAGTTTGTCTGGCACAATGGTCATCGAGGTGGAGATGGTTAGAGGTGTTTTTTCTGGCACAATGGTCACCGGGGTGGAGATGGGAAAAGATGTTTGTTTGGCACAATGGTCACCGGAGTGGAGATGGGAGGAAATGTTTGTCTGGCACAATGGTCACTGGGGTGGGAATGGTTATAGATGTTTGCCCGGCACAACGATCACCAGGGTAGGGGTGGTCGGAGATGTTTGTCTGGCACTATGGCCATGGAGGTGGAGATGGTTAGAGGTGTTTTTTCTGGCACAATGGTCACCGGGGTGGATATGGGAGAAGATGTTTGTCTGGCACAATGGTCACTGGGGTGGGAATGGTTATAGATGTTTGCCCGGCACAATTATCACCAGGGTAGGGGTGGTTGGAGAAGTTTTTGTCTGGCACAATGGTCACCGGGGTGGGAATGGTCAAAGATGCTTGGGATGTGTATCAGAGAGGAGGAATGGAGGATTGTGCGTCTTGAGTCTTGTCATCCCCGATGACAGAAAGCAGGCGCTCCCCTCTCCATGTGATGAATGTGCGGCAGAGCGCGGATCGGACAGATATCACATAATGGCCATCGAAGAATAAATTCACAACATCAATAGCCGGCAGATAATAAACAGACAGCCGTCATCATAAATTCCCTCTCCTGTCCTCCGCCTCTCCGACACGGCCTGGAACAGTCTGGGAACGCAACCTTAGCGCCTGATAGATGTGCGGGCCGACGCCCAGACACATTCGTTACCGCGGCCCCTTGGGCCATCCGGCGGATTCGGGGTGAGAAGAGATTTATACACACACCCGTCATAGAGGAACGTTTACGGATATAGAATCCGTGGTACGCAGAGCGAAAATGTCGCCAGATCTGACCGCGATGGCGAAAAAATTCATTTTCGGCCATTTTCCCTGATTTCAAAAACAAACTCACAAGACAAATCCCTTCCTATTTATATGATCTCACATTTTGTCTTACCGATCGTTCGCTTACATTTCGATGCTTCGGAGGAATTGAATTGCGGTTTTTGAAAATGGAAATTCTGTTATATTGAAGAAACAGCAAAGTAACAATTTTTGGATACATTTTTTTACATAACATTGCAAATAGTTCTATGACAAAAATGAAAGAAGACTGCAGATTACGACCGATTTATTTCTGATAAACATCGATCACTACAATAAAAACCGCCAGTCATTCTATCAGTTACAACATGTCATCCAGAGTTACATCAACCAAGTTCAGCGTGATCACATGTAGAGGTTCAGCAGGGATCGAATGGGAACACCTGATGTAAGGAGAAGACTCTGATGGGGACACCTGATGTAAGGAGAAGACTCTGATGGGGACACCTGATGTAAGGAGAAGACTCTGATGGGGACACCTGATGTAAGGAGAAGACTCTGATGGGAACACCTGATGTAAGGAGAAGACTCTGATGGGGACACCTGATGTAAGGAGAAGACTCGGATGGGGACGCCTGATGTAAGGAGAACACTCTGATGGGGACGCCTGATGTAAGGAGAACACTCTGATGGGGACACCTGATGTAAGGAGAAGACTGATGGGGACGTCTGATGTAAGGAGAAGACTGATGGGGACGCCTGATGTAAGGAGAAGACTCTGATGGGGACGCCTGATGTAAGGAGAACACACTGATGGGGACGCCTGATGTAAGGAGAAGACTCTGATGGGGACACCTGATGTAAGGAGAAGACTCTGATGGGGACACCTGATGTAAGGAGAAGACTCTGATGGGAACACCTGATGTAAGGAGAAGACTCTGATGGGGACACCTGATGTAAGGAGAAGACTCGGATGGGGACGCCTGATGTAAGGAGAACACTCTGATGGGGACACCCGATGTAAGGAGAAGACTCTAATGGGGACCTGATGTAAAGAGAAGACTCTGATGGGGACACCTGATGTAAGGAGAACACTCTGATGGGGGACACCCGATGTAAGGAGAAGACTCTGATGGGGACGCCTGATGTAAGGAGAAGACTCTGATGGGGACGCCTGATGTAAGGAGAACACTCTGATGGGGACACCCGATGTAAGGAGAAGACTCTGATGGGGACACCCGATGTAAGGAGAACACTCTGATGGGGACACCCGATGTAAGGAGGACACTCTGATGGGGACGCCTGATGTAAGGAGAACACTCTGATGGGGACACCTGATGTAAGGAGAACACTCTGATGGGGACACCCGATGTAAGGAGAAGACTCTGATGGGGATGCCTGATGTAAGGAGAAGACTGATGGGGACGTCTGATGTAAGGAGAAGACTCTGATGGGGACACCCGATGTAAGGAGAAGACTCTAATGGGGACGCCTGATGTAAGGAGAAGACTCTGATGGGGACACCTGATGTAAGGAGAACACTCTGATGGGGACACCCGATGTAAGGAGAAGACTCTGATGGGGACGCCTGATGTAAGGAGAAGACTCTGATGGGGACGCCTGATGTAAGGAGAAGACTGATGGGGACGTCTGATGTAAGGAGAAGACTCTGATGGGGACGTCTGATGTAAGGAGAAGACTCTGATGGGGACGCCTGATGTAAGGAGAACACTCTGATGGGGACGCCTGATGTAAGGAGAACACTCTGATGGGGACACCTGATGTAAGGAGAAGACTGATGGGGACGTCTGATGTAAGGAGAACACACTGATGGGGACGCCTGATGTAAGGAGAAGACTCTGATGGGGACACCTGATGTAAGGAGAAGACTCGGATGGGGACGCCTGATGTAAGGAGAACACTCTGATGGGGACACCCGATGTAAGGAGAAGACTCTGATGGGGACACCTGATGTAAGGAGAAGACTCTGATGGGGACGCCTGATGTAAGGAGAACACTCTGATGGGGACACCCGATGTAAGGAGAAGACTCTGATGGGGACACCCGATGTAAGGAGAACACTCTGATGGGGACACCCGATGTAAGGAGGACACTCTGATGGGGACGCCTGATGTAAGGAGAACACTCTGATGGGGACACCCGATGTAAGGAGAAGACTCTGATGGGGACACCCGATGTAAGGAGAAGACTCTGATGGGGACACCCGATGTAAGGAGAAGACTTGGATGGGGACGCCTGATGTAAGGAGAACACTCTGATGGGGACACCTGATCTAAGCCGGGACTATGGTCGGGACACCTGATTAAAGAGGCGCTCTGAGGGGCACACCCAATGGACTTTAATGGGGACACCTGATATAAGGGGGAATTCTTATGGGACATTTGATGTAATGGGGGACTCTGATGGGGACACCTAATATAAGGAGGGACTCTGATGGAGACACTTGATGCGAGGGAAGACTCTGATGAGGACACCTGATGTAAAAGGGACACTGATGGGAACACCCGATGTAAGGGGGACTCTGATGGGAACACCCGATGTAAGAGGGACCCTGATGGGGACACCTGATGTAAGGGGGACTCTGATGGGGACACTCGATGCGAGGGAAGACTCTGATGGGGACACCTGATGTAAGGGGGCACTCTGATAGAGACACTTGATGTAAGAGGGAACCTGATGCGGACACCTTATATAAAGGGGCACTCTTATGGGGACACTTGATGCAAGGGGACTCTGATGGGGACACGATATAAGGGGAGACTCTTATGGGGACACCTGATGTAAGGGGGTACTCTGATGGGGACACCTGATGTAAGGGGGATGCTGACGGGGACACCTGATGTAAGGGGGACTCTGTTGGGGAAATTTGATATAAGGGGGGCCCTGATTGGGACACCTGATGTAAAGGGGGCTCTGAAGGGGACATTTGATATAAGGGGGCACTCTGATCTCTGATGGGACACTTGATGTAAGGGGGGACTCTCATGTGGACATCTGATATAAAGGGGACTCTGATGGGGATGCCTGATGTAAGGGGGCACTCTGATGGGGACACCTGATGTATGGGGGACTCTCATGTGGACATCTGATGTAAGGGGGACTCTGATGGGGATGCCTGATGTAGGGGGACTCTGATGGGGACGCTTGATATAAGGGGGCACTCTGATGGTGACTGCTGATGTATGAGAGCACGCTGATGGGGACACCTGATGTAAGGGGGGACTCTGATGGGGATACATGATGTAAGGGGGGACTCTGATGGGGATACATGATGTAAGGGAGCACATTGAAATTTGGCAATAAATACTACTGAAATGCTATGTGAATTGTGCATTGGGTATTTTTTGATAGACACAGAATGACTACATATATAGTGGATCGGAGTCACTACAGAAACATGGGAGTTGGACCTGTTCTGGAAGAAGAGGACTGAAACTCCTTCTTTTTTTTTTCCCCCTTACCCCCGGCTTAAAGGAAAGGGGAAATGTTAGGGATGTAGGAGGAAAGAGGGGAAAAGAAATGCAGAAATTCTGAGGAAAAG